TGTTAGAGGACTAATTAAGGCAAATCAGGAACTCTGTTCCAACAGAAAAACAAGATGGTATATCCCTGTCCTTGTCACATAAAGGGAAAACTACAAAGAATCATTCACACATAACACATGGGGGTTGGGGTGCATTGCTACATAAAAACTCCCTTCCCCCCTCAAATGACAAGGCATATCAAGAGCTGGACTTTTACAATTACAGCCCTCATCATATTAAAACTAGCCCTACTCACAGAGACGCACCTCCTCATATGTCACCTTGGGGAGGGGGTTCTCCATAACCTCTAGGCCCACCAGAGATTCTCAGAAGCACTCTTAAGAAAACTAACTGAAGAAATTTAGTGTTCACTCAAAGCTCCTCTAGTCTCATGCATTTCTAATAGATAAAGGAGAAATGGCTCTCTCCAAGTACTTAAAAATCAAAAATTTTAAAAATGTAGCCATCAGATATAATTTCCACTTAAATTTCATAACTGGAAATATATTGTCCTTTCCCTCTATCCATTTCCTTTAAGTACCTACTTAAAAATGAGGGAAAAAAATCAGGAGCATGTCTCTAGCTTCAGTTTTGCACAGCATTACTACAGGGGGGAAATAAGTACACTTTGGAGCTCAGGTGGAATGTTTTAGGGTCATCAGAAAAATGATTGTCAAACTCCTTTTGAGAAAAAGTATAACGTTATAACCTTAGATGTGCTACATAAATGCAAGTTATCATTATGGTCTTCCTTATGCTATTTCTTATAAACTGTTCCAACTTAAGAAAATATTTTATGCCAATTCTGAAAGCCTAACATGAGAGAGTTTAGGAATAAAACTAAAATGCAATATTCAATATTCACTTTAGATTGAATCAGAACTTCCAGAAAAAGTCTGTTTTTAAATTGTCAATTAAGTCAAACTAGTACAATTTTCAGCTAGTATTCAAACTAGTACAATTCTTTTTTTTTGCTTTACCAAATTAAATGATTCTTACAGTCAATGTACAATAAGCAGAATCGAACTCTGGATGTTTTATAGCTCTCAGTGAACTGTGCTGTGGAATATCATTTGTGAGAGCCTACCTCGTGACTTCTCATTCTTTCACCAAGGATACCCTTTAATGAACCCGTCAATTATTCTCATAAAGATTTTGTAGTAATAGAAAGTAGACACAGGGATCCAGAGTGATCTCTATTTGGCATCCACGAAATGGGTGATGTCACTGGCCTGCTTGCCCCTACACACTTCACTAGCTTGTTGTGAGAATGTGCTTTGCAAAGTGTCAAGTGTGCAGTATAAATGCAGTTATCTTCTTATGGGCATCACTGGAAGGACGGATACAACACTTGAGTCTTCGCTGTGATCAGCAGCATTCACTTTGTACTTCTCTGGCTTCCCCCAGTAAAGCCAAGCCCCAGGAAACTCATCACTGGGAAACATCATCACCTTGCAAGATCCAATCAGCTTTGTTGTTCACACTTCCTCAGGACCCTCTGCCCCTCAGATTGGAGGGTGCAGACACAAACGCCTTCATTTAAGGAGAGGGAACTGGACTGACCTGTCCCAGACATCTCTTCATTTCCTATCCCACTGTATCTGATTTCTTTGACTCTACCAGGTCACACCCACTACCCTTGCCCCCTTTCATCTTTCTTTTGTGTGTGTATCCTTCCCTTAGACTGGAAGAGCCCTGAGGGCAAGAACTGTCTTTGTTTTTCATATCTGTATCCCCAAGGATTGCCTGGCACATGTGCTTAACAAATGTTTAATGATTAACTGCTTTACACATTTTTACTACAATCAAGGGTCTCTTCCTAAGGGTGGGAACTGACAAACTGTGTTTATTGAATATTAACCCTCTTAGTACTCAAAACCACTACAAAGTTGTTGTTTTTTTAAAACAAACTTTTTTTTCCCCCGCAGATTCCTTCAGCCTCTGATGCTTACCAAATACACGCATTTACATGGATTTAAATTTCATTCCTGGTGAAGGTTCTGATATACAACTAGTTATAATACTGTAATTTCAGTAACTGCAACAAATATCTCAGAAGAAGAGAGGTCCAGATAACTAAGAACCAGTGCTGGGGATGTTTGCTAGAGTTTAACAAGGGAATTCCTGTTCCATGTGGGGAAAATGTACTGATTTTACCAAAACAAAAAGAGTTAATGATTTAAAAAAAAAAAAAAGGGTGCACTCATACAAGAGTGTCTTATGGAAGTCAGTACATCTGTGGGCTTTAATAATTCATTTGATAGCTTTATTAGCTAACAACTGCACTAAGATTTTTGGAACATGTTTTATGGTGCTTCCTTCATCATCACCCAGTGAGTGGGCAGTACAAACACTATTATTCCTACTTTACAAAGGAGGAAACCAAGTCTCAAGGGGTTGACTTGACCATAGCCAAATGGGTAGACAGTGTCAGTCTGCTCCAAATCCAAGTCTTCTGACCAACCACATTTCTTTCTATTACACCAGGCTACCTGTCCTAAGAGGCATCCCAAAACAGCAACAAGAATCTACCACCCTAATTCTTCAGCAGGAGAAAAGAACGTCCATATCTATCTAACGGATACTGGAAAACAATCCAATTCTAAGCCCCCCAGATGTTGCTAAGGAATTGAAGAGTACTTGGACATTTCTAGTGCCCAAGTGAGGGAGGTGATCACCATCACCTCCTCTGTCCCATGAGATCACATTTGGAATATTCTGTTGAGTTCTAAGGGCAGAGCTACCAGGATACGGAGAGGGTCAGAAAAAATCAGAGCAGTGGCTGAGGGAAAATGGGAAGGTTTGAGCCTGAAGAAAGAGAGACTTGGTGGGCACAAGGGAGTGAGGGGAGAACAGGATGGTTGTCTTCTAAATACCTAAAAGATTATCACATGGAAGGATTAGATTTGTACCGTGTGGCCCCAAAGGGCAGAAAGAGAAAGGGGATTTTGGTTCCAGGGAAAGAGAATTTGCTAACAATGACAGCTATTTGAAAACAGAATGGGATGCCTCAGGGAGAAAGGAGTGAGCTCCTCTGAGCAAGCCAGATGAAAATATGCCAATGATGCTGTCCATACTGTGGGACCCATAGCATGGGAAGGGGCTACAGAAAGCACATGAAATCTATCTACAAGCCTCAGGAGTCCAGGGACCTGAACTTAAAAACCACTTGGCTAGAGGAACCAAGTTATAAGGAAAGGTTAAGGAAAAGGGGGTTCGGAGTCTAGCAGGAAAGAACTAGAGGATGTCGGGCACTGTGGTGCATGCCTATAATGTCTGCTTACGGGGAGGCTGAGGCTGGTGGGGTCACTTGAGCTTGGGAGTTCCAAACTGCAGGAGGGCTAAGCTGACCTTTGGTACCAATAAGTTGAGCTTCTAGGAGAACGGGCCCAAGTTGGAAATGGAACAGGTCAAAGCTTTTGTGCCACTCAGAAGTGGGATGGGGTCAGTGAGTGGCTGCTACACACTCTAGTCTGGGTGAGATGGGGAGACCCAGCTGCAAACCAAAAGGAATGAGAGGAAGGGCTTTACAAGATGATGAAAATCTACACATTGTTGGCGATCTACAGCAAGGAGGAAAGGAAATCATTAAAAGTGAAATTAAACCAAGTTTAAAAAAAAACCCAACACAAACCAATATATTAAACTAGGAACCCTTTTAATGGTAAGATGTTGCTGTTATATTTCAGAGGAAGCTACTCAAAGGCCCAGAGCCAGGGCGTTTCTTGCCGGAAAATGCTTAGCATACTGCCATACACATGTGACTACTTAGGTATTAATTAATGGTGGTGGAGATCAAGCAGAAACTCTAATGGCTGACGAAGGCATTTAGAACTATCCTAGATAATGCATCTTCAAAAACCCTGGAGGAGACAACCTTGCAGAGACATAAAGGTTAGGCAAAAATTGGTGTTGTGATTTAATAGACCCTCCATGGATAAAGCTCCAACTTTTCTAAACAAGTTTTATCTACAAAAGATCTGAAGAAGTAACAGTTTGACTTTCTACCGTAATGTCAAAAAACTCAACTGTTCCATCAAAGGGAAAAAATTCTCTCATCCCTCTGGATAACCTAACAGACTAGACAAATATTAACACTTAAAGGAAATTCTGAGGTGAGAGAGAAATCTCAGAGTTTTACCCATCTACCTTTTCTCCCAAAGGTGCTTTGAAAAATATACATAATACTTATCACTGCATGTGCCCCAGGGCCTGAATATCACAGTATTAAGGTTTTCAAGCTAACTTCTCTGTTAGTCCTCAATTGGAGATTCTTCATGACCATAAATGAGTTTCATTTAAGTCCTATATTATTAGAAACATCATTAAAAATAACTTAAAAAAAGACTCCCTAAGATTTTCATAACCCAATTCCTATGTGTGCTTGTGGGTTGTTATTGGTTTGGGTTTTTTTTCCTTTGAATAGTAGAAAGGGGGTAATCCCTTCAAAGGTGTAGGCTAGATTTTAAACCACAAACCGCCTTTTCAAAAAAAAATTAATATTGCATTTAAATTTAATATTTCACAAAACATTTGTTTCAAACTAATTTTTGCATTTAATTTGAAGCCACGTTCTGTATTTGAGGGACTGATGGAGTTCAAAACAAAACTTATCTTCTTAGAGCTGACCGTTTTAATTGCCTGATACGTTACCTTTTATAAAGATTTAATTTTGTACATGTGACCAGAGTTCTTAATTAAAGCAGAAGCAGATTCCTACAAATCAACCAATCTGAAACATATTTGTAATCTTTATGGCTTCACATATTGTTCAGTTATAAATACATGGTCTATATCCACCAATACCTTCTTCCACAAATTAAATCAAAACAAAACAAACATCAAAACAATCCTTCAGGAAGTCCTACAAAGTTGGATCCCTTTAAAACCTTAAAATACTCAAAGTCCCATAACAAAAAAAAAAAAAAAACAACCCTAAAAATGAAAAACCAACCATCGTGTGTAATTGCAACTCAGGATCAGAATAAGGATCAAAGTGTCTGCTGGAGAGGACACTCACCTGGATCGGCGGCTGGGCACTTGCGGATAGTGAAGATCTGCCCCAAGTCTTCTTCTTCCTCGGGAAGACCCTTCTGGAGTCTCTGCAGCTTGCGCAAGCTCTCACTCCGCTGATGTTTCATGGAGCGCACATGCTGTATGAGGTTAAGCTTGGCCTTGGTGGAATAGCTACACAGGACACAGTGATAGTAGCAGCTCTCTCCCTCTACCCCAGTCTCATGCTGCTGAAGGTGCTGTGAACAAAAGACAGGGATGGTGAGTGAGCGGGCCTGCTGGCCAAATCCCCTTACCCTCCTCTTGACTGGAATCACCCCAGTTCTGGTTATTTCAGCAATTCCCAGGCACTGGGGGACAAAGCTTCCAGGTCGGCTTTAAGCACTGAGCAGGGCCTCATTCAGAAGTGCTCCTTTTCTCTCTTCTATCTCCCCAATTTACCCCTAAATGGTGCTCCATGAATCCAGTTCAATGCTGTGCACAGACCATCTCAGCAAGACAGGCTGGTAAGACTGCTGATTAAAATCTTTTCAACAAGAACCATGGCTTGATAGTAGAAACCCTGAACTGGAGACTCCCTTCCCCAGGGACAAAAGGAAGAACATTTCTCCTAAATAACTCACTGATGTGACTATTAGATTGTGACCTCCTTGAGGGAAATGGACTGTTTTTGCCTTTCTTCATAGACACAGAGTAGGTGTTTAATAAAAGCTTGTATATTTGACCATAAGGCTCATTGGTTCACCCAGTGGGCTAACTCCCCTCACTCCAGAGAATCTGGATACAAGTAGACCAAATCCCCTACAACAGAGGGACAATAGCCAACTTTAGGAAGCATGAGAGTTGGCATCATTTAAAAATCTATCCAAGCAATAAGGCCTACCCCTAGAAGGGAAACCACCATTGGAGGAGCCAGGATATGGAGGTGGGTCTCATCAAAAGCCAGATATCCTGCCTTCTGATCTTGTACTCTCTTCACCACAATGTCCAATGTCTTTTTGAGGAAGAAATAACATTTTAAGAGTATCTCAAGAATTTTATTTTTCTCCACTCTTAAGTTCTTTGTAGGTAAGGCCTGTGCCATGAGTGCCATGACTGGAAGCTTGAAGTCTCCACGTGTAATTTATCACCAGAGAAAGATTCAGAAGTCACAGAGAATGGAATCTTCTGGCACTAAAGCATGTTCATTTTTAAAAGGGAATATTTCGAAGCATCCCTCCCTTGCACACTATAGCTGAGGCAGCCAGCCGCCTGCTCTGCGGGCCTCTACTCCTCTACAAGGGATGCACAACCCGTACAATCTTTGCTTCCTCTTGGGACGCCACGTGCTGCCGCCAGCACCATGCAGCTTAGAACAAAACCTTGAACAGCTTGCCCTTTCTGACGAGCCCCTAAGGTACTTCTAGGATGCCCTATAGTCAGAGGAAGATTAAAAAAAAAAAAGACAAGTAAACTTATGAGTTAAGATAATCCCTATTTGATGACACTGCTCCCGAAACTCATGTGTTCATAGACATGTCCTCAATTCGCTGAAAAGGTGTGAAAAATCTGGAGACATGTTTGCACATTGTTTGGAGCGGTAACATGAATGCCCTGGGTAATCCATGTAGAAAATTACTATGGCCTGAGCTCTGAGGCCTTCAGCCCTAAGTCACACAAACAAGCAAAATTATTCCAGAGAAAACCTTGCTCTGGAACATACAGATCCCGGGTCACGGCTAACACAAGTTTTATGTGCACCCAACAGGAAAATTTCTTCTTTCCAAATGGGTGGATTAACACCTGCACATGGAGTACCTTGGGAAAAAGTCAACCCCTTCAAGGAACAACCATTCTAGACCAGGGTGACAATGTGAGAAAGCTGCGAAGGAGGGAGCTGAGTAATGCTTCATGTTGTAAGAGGGATAAAGCAGTTCTCTTGGAATAATCTAGCAAATTTCATTAAGTACTCACTTCCTAATTGCCGTACCTCCCCCCACCCCCAATCAGAGATGTGTTCAGAGGGAGATTAGCAGGAAAAAAAGGAGAACTGCTTTGTAAATGTTTTCTAAGATCGAGGTATCAACCACACCACTGCGGTTCAAGACTCTCCCAGCAGAGGCTCAAACCAAATTCAAATTAATTGGGAAACATTTAACAAAACAAATACACAATCAAACACAGATAATGTTCATGTGTGGTTTTCTAAGTCAACATGCAACTGTAGGCATCCTTATGTATGGGGTGGTGGTCCCCATTTTTATTTGCAGCTGATACCGCTGTTCTAAGGGATCCTACGTGCAGACACTGGAGAAGCCACAGCTGGTAAAACAGAGCAAGGGAAAGCCATCACAGAGGACTGGGCTGTCCCCTCTCCTCCCTCATAACCCCCTCGTGCCTTCCCTTAAATCTCAGGTAAAATCTCACCTTCTACGAGAAGCCTGTTCGGTCCCCCTTCATCTTGGTGCCTTCCCTCTGACATTACCCAGAATCTATCCCATACAAAGCTGTCTGCATAATGTTTCCCCCACTAGACTGTAAGCTCCTTGAGAGTAGCACCTGTCATTTGCTTGGCATGTAGCACATGCTTGGTAAATGCCCACTTAGTAGATGACTGATGGCCCCCACGTTGAGGTTCTCTTTCCAATCCTCATTCTCCCTGACCCTCCCCAGCAGGTTTGATTAAGGCCAAAAGTCCACCAAGCTATTTGTGTAAACTAGAGAGAAACTAGAGAGAAAAAAGCTGTAGGATGACTAGGAGTCTTAGGCCACAGAGATGAGAGAATTACATTTAACAGAACTACAACTAAAACTGAATGAATTAAAAACAATGAAAAGAGAGTGATGGAATCCAAAGCAAGAATTTCAGTCAAGGGACCTTGGTGGCATCATAATCCATGAAACTGAAGCCATTACCATTCCCTCTTAGCATCTAAGCCAATTCCCTATAACTTCCGTCTCTCCCCTCTGCCATTATACATCACATCCCCAAGAAGAGGATTTCCTTGTAATAAAGTGCTCTTTTTTTTTCTATAAAATTCTATTATGGGTCTGCTATATCTACTCCAAAGTGGTTTGAATTTCCACCTGCCATGAGATGGCCAGGAGTAACAAACATGGCTAAAAGGGTCTGAGTGGGTTTGCCAAAATGTCTGTCCCGCATTCCTGAGTCTATAGGTTCTTGGGTTAATTCTAAATCAGGACAATTGTCTCACTCTGCAAAACCCTACTTTAAAAACTTGAAACAGTCAAGTTGCTGCCAATTCACTCTGCCTTCTTGGGTCACTATCATTAGTTATTCTGTTGGGACAGTAGAAATTATTTTGTCTATTATTTCAGATCCATTTCTAGGGAAAATGGTTATATAAAGCCAACTGCTGAAAAAGAGTTAAAAAAAAAAAGGAAGAAAAAGGGAAAAAACAAAACAGAGTGACTATATTTAGTGTTCTACATAAACTTTCCAAAAGGCGACTGGGGATTGGTGGGCTAGTTCCTTCTCTTAAGGTATTAGATGAAAAATTCCGACTACATAATTTCTAGTTTGTTAAGGAATGTACACCTAATTGGCTCGGGATCATCTTGCCTCTTATATCCTTTCTCAACTAGTCTAGTATACTGGAAAGAACCCTGGATTTGGAATTAAAGGACCAGGCTATGGATCCCCATGCAACCAATCATCCTCTTGGTGATCCTGGGCAAGCCCCCTCTTTGCCTCAGTTTCCTCTTGAAGGATTTGGACTAGAGGGTGTCTAAAATCCCTTCCAAATCTAAATCTAAGGATCTGTATATCTGCATCTTCCTGTGGCCTAGCTGGAAGTTCTGAAATATCCACATTTACGACAGTGTCTCAAAATTCCTACAGCTAGACAACATATAGAACAAAAATATCAATAATCAATCCAACTTCAGGAATATAAGACCTAAACCATCATAGTTTGACTATTTCTTTAAGTACCCTAGAATAGACTTGTCTGCCTTGCTGGGCCTGCAACAGCCCACAAAACTCTCTAATGCCACTCGAACCAGACCAAAAATGATTAATAAAAGAAATAAAAATATAATAAGATATGGATATGAATTTGTGGTTTTCTATATCAATATGTGACTGCAGGGATCTATTTCTATATGACTTTGACACCACTGTCCATCTCTTCCTACTACACTGTCTGCCCAAACCTCCCACTTTTTGGAGACTGAGATACTCCTGGTCTCACCTGTGAACCTGTCAGCTACCTCCATGTATAGTGCTGTCCCATCAGCAAAACTCCAGGCTTTGCTCTGGGCTAAATAAGAAGCAGGAGGGGGCTAGAGAGGCGCATCTGATCCCAATGGGGTAAGTCAGCCAATGACACTTCTAACCCTCAGAAGGGAGTAGGAGATGTTTTCATTTGCTGTAGGAGAGAGAGAATAATTTGTTCCTGACCCAGCTAATTAGAATACCCTCAATTGGGATCACAATGTATTTAATTAAATTCACTGTAATATATGAAGAATCCACCAAGGCACAAATCCCAATGGTGCACTCAATAAAGGAGCTGCTTTCTTTCAGAGTTTCTTCCCTTTCACAAGTCAGAACATTTTCCTCCCTCCCCTCCCCATCATCTTGAATTTCTCTACCTTTTCTTCTAAAATCTGGGATTCCCCTCCAATCCCAGGGGAAAACGCATTATGTTCAATTCAATTTTAATTCAACAAATATTTATTAAGTTTCTAAAATGCTCCAGGCCCCAGGGATACAAAGAGAAATACAGTGCAGACCCTCCTCTAGAGGAGCTGATGATCTAACCCCTGGAGGACTGCTCATCAGGTAAGTTACAGTGGGTATTCTTATTCAAATACGGGCGGGACAAAATGGTCATTGATACCCCTTTCCACTCTAAATTCCGTGGTGGTGTAATGGTGGGGAAGCCACAGAGGCAAGAAACTAGAATGCAGGGCAGAATAAGATATGTCAAAGGAGAGATCTGGGAAAGGTGCTGGATGACATTTATGGTGCAAGAAGCTTACTTTCATCTGGTTTGAAGAGGAAGGTGGAAAACGCAAGAAAGGCATCATAGAGGACATACAACAGGTGCTGAGTCTTAAACGAAAAGGCAGTACTCCAACAGAAGGTGATTTGGGGCTGGAGGAGAGTTTCAGGGATGGGATTTGTATGGGCAGGCAAAAGGCCTAAGGCTGGAAAGGGGAGTGGACAGGTGACCCATTGGCCTAGACTGCAGAAAGAGACATGAAAAGAGGCACAATAAGAAAGGTCTGGAAA